CATCCTGTCCACTTGCATCATTGGATGCAGATGGGCATGCTGGAATGCTGGGAACCACATAGTGACCTACCTTAGTGCTTTTCATATGATGATATGCTCCATAGAGCAGACTCTGCTGGGGGACTTTGTATGGACAATTTAATTGAATCTTTATAAACTCTGCACAGCAGGTATTCTTACTATTCCCACTTCACAGATGAGAACACTGAGGCCTAGAGGAAGTGAAATAATTTGTCTATGATTATAAAATTGGCTAATAGTGGAGACTAGATTAAGACTATGTCTGTCTGACTACAGACTTAACCACTACACTACAAGGAGTATTTCTGGTTTTGTGTTTTTGTACAAAGGGGATGTGGTTCACAGAGAAAAGGAACATAAAAATCATATTTAGTTCCATGTTTCTGTGTCTCAAAATACTTCAGACTGTTTTAAAAGCCTAAGCCAGTGCCTCTCCCAACACAGTGGCATTAAGCCCTATGGACATAGTAGCATATAGTGCAAAATGAGTTCTCTCCTGAAGCCCAAGCATCTACATGTTGTTTCCCTTTAAGTGGGGGTGCCCCTTTATTGACAGCTTGCTAGAGCACATTGTTTGCATTCTGTAGTCATTTGCTTCCTATCAAGTTACAGAGACAATAATATTTTATCATTTGTTCATTTCTCTTTATCTAGAAATAAAAATTATTGGGTATTTCAAACATTCTTCCTTTCCTTAGATAGAATGCAGAAGTGACATGTTTATAAAAATGGAACTAAATTAGATAATTTATAACCAGACTATTACAGATAGATCAGAAAACTACTCGAGTCTTTATCATTTATTGAAACAACTTTTAAAATGTTCAAGTGAAGCTTGGAGCAAATATCATGTACTATTTTATAAACTATTGATAAATGTAGTATAATAAAAACATATTATCTATCTTTATCTACAGTATAATCTCCAGTCATACTCTTCTCCATGGATGCATTTTTATCATCTAGAGATTTTTGACATAATAAAGATCTTTTCAGTATTGAAAATCTTTGCTTCAACCAACACACAGAATTATCTCATGGTCTATTGAGTTATAAGCAGCTGCATTTATTCATTCATCTATTCCTTCGTGTAATGAACAAAGGGCTGATTCTATGCCAGGCCCAGTGGTAGACACTGAAGTTACTATGGTGAATAGGACAAGGTCTTGGTCCTCAAGAAACTCACAACATAGTAGGGAAAACCTCAGCCGTAAGTGCTGTGAAGCACTTGCTAAATGCAGGGTGCAGTGGGGGAAGGGAATGGGTCACATAAGAAGAGAAAACAGCATGCCTGGGACCTAAGGCAGGAAAGCATTTGAAACTTTGCTGAGAGGAAATGAGGGCTAGAATTTAAGAGACTGAGAGAGGGATTGGCAGGAGATGAAATAAGTTAATTATTTTGGTCTTTATTCTAGGGTCCATAAGAAACAGGGGATTGGTGATATCAGAATTGTGTTTAAGAATTCCACTCTGGCTATGCATGGAGAATGGATGGAAGAAAACAAGAGAGGAGACAGGGAGTCTAGGAGGCTGTTGTACTATTTCAGAAGATGGCAGTCTGGAGTAGGATACTGGCAGTAGAGATAGAAAGATACCGTAAACCTAGAAGAACCTTTTCATATTACTTGTAAAATAACAAACTGCAGTGAAAGGACTATGGATCTGGTTTTGGAAATGTGCAATACCAATTCTATCCACTGGTGTGGTATTTCAGGAAGACAGCTTGGAAAGCTGCATCCAAGTTCTTCTCTCTGCCTTGCCCTTACTCTGCTGTCTTCAGTACAGGGACTGCAAAGCATCTCTGGCTTAAGACTAACAGACACATTCTTAAAGAGAACATATGAATATGATGACATCGCACAAGTCTGTGTGGTATCTTCATCCATTTAAGTGGAAAGCTGAAGAAAATTTCCAATGTCACGTTTTTCATTTAGTTTTGCAGAACTGCTTTCTGTGTGTTTGTCACCTTTGTAAAATGATCAAGTCAACAAAAATAAATATATATTATTTAAATTTCTGTCCTGTAAAACAGTTAAAATATTAAATATTTGTTTTGAAAAAAAATTAATTTAAAAGTTAAGAGATAGGCTTGATGGGTATAGGCTGGTGGGATTGGACATGGGCAGTGAAGACAATGAGAAATCAAGCCAGGTTTCTGGCCTGCGAAACGGGATAGATGAGGACACCACTGACTGGAAAGAGATACACTGAAAATAGATCCCATAATGTGTGAAACAAGATTAAGAACTAACTCCATTGTGGCCAGGCGTGGTGGCTCACACCTGTAATCCTAGCACTCTCGGAGGCTGAGGCGGGCGGATTGCTTGAGGTCAGGACTTTGAGACCAGCCTGAGCAATAGCGAGACCCCGTCTCTACTAAAAATAGAAAGAAATTAGCTGGATAGCTAAAAATACATAGAAAAATTAACCGGGCATGGTGGAGCATGCCTGTAGTCCCAGCTACTCAGGAGGCTGAGGCAGAAGGATTGCTTAAGCCCAGGACTTTGAGGTTGCTGTGAGCTAGGATGACACCACGGCACTCACTCTAGCTTAGGCAGTAGAGTGAGACTCTGTCTCAAAAAGAAAAAAAAAAAAAAAAGACTAACTCCATTGGGATGCATTGGGTTTGAGAACAAGGCCCACCATTTGGAGATGCAGGCAAACTCTAAGGGACAGATGAGAACTAAAGGTATGTCATTAGTAGCATGAAGTAGCTACAAGGTTAAAACCATGAACCCAAGGGAGACAGCCCATAGTGAGCATGTAGGACAGGAGGAGAAAGGGTAAAGGATCTGGGGTCCTTGGGAAGGGCAAGTTGACATTATGAAGAACCAACCTGAGAAGGTGAAGGCAGTTGGCTATTGTGAGGTTGAAGCTTAGGGGAGAGGTCTGCACTGGAGTTATAGGAAGTGGCATTTAGAGGGCAGTAGAAACCACGGAGAGGAAATAGCCTAGAAAATGTAGAGTGTTTTTGTATTAATAGCATCACTTCTGGTACCAGATATGGTTTGCAATTTGGTTACTAGAGGTAGAAATAATCTGGAAGATGATGATTTTCAAAGAAGAAGGCAGGGTGAAATGCAGGGGCAATGTTTAACCCAAAAACAGGGCATGAATATGGGAAGATTATAAAAATTTGTCCGGGTGGACATAAATTCCCTTCTGATGAACCTTACTAAAGGGCTGATGACTCTTGCCCTCCCCATTGTCTCACCCAGGCAAGTTGGGTAAGTATGGCGATGCTGCAAAGTGGGTACTCAACCACTGTAAGGAAGGGAGGGCCATGCCTGTGTATGGTACCTCTCTCTCTTAACTGGGCCTGGGATTTCCTAAGGGAGGCCCACACCTGTGACAGTATCATGTCTCCTCAGCTGCCATGGCCACTGCCCACTTCCTTCAAGTGTCCCATGCAGATGTTAACATTGGAGAAGGATCTTTGCTTCTGGAGGACAAGATAACAGTGTGGGGACATCCCTGGTGAGTCCCTGATTCAACCAATGTCATCCCTGCTGGTGGTCAAGTTCTCTCACTGGAGAAAGTACACAGCCAAGCATGTTTGTCTGGCATGATTTCAGCTTCGTGTTGGATGTGCATGCTCCACGGTCTTCAGAGTCACCCAGCCAAGGAAAGACCGTGGTATCCATGGGACTGAAGAGCAAGGACAGTGACCAAGATCTGGCCTCACCCTTTCTCACTCTCCTTTCCAATCTCTACAGTAATATTTTCTTTTGGATGAACATATGGTGTTTGTCTTAAGCAAAGCACTCTACCAGTAAAATTAAAGATGCCACTCTGGGTTTCTTACCTGAATAATTCCTTTATTGGAGGTGACAAGAAATGGCTCCATTGGCTTCCATGGAAGACTGTGGGGCCAATACTTTCCCTCAGGTTGTCCCAGCTCCATTTCCTCTTGCCTAAGGTGGAACCACCTAGACAGCTATTAAAAAGATACACTACTGCTTCTTACTGAAGCTCCTCACCTCCCCACCACACTTAGCTGTGATTAACCAAGAAAAAAAAAATATTTTCTATCTCCTGCAACCTTTTCAGAGCAAGCTGGAAATAAAGACTCAGATTGCTTTGCACTGAACAGGCTAACATGCCATCCATCAAAGGCTATCTCAGACTTCCGGAGAGTGTGCAGCCTCCAAGACGTTTTGTGGTGTAAGTAGCTTGAGAACCAAGTTTATGAAAACATCACAAAGGTTGGGAAAATTCCCTCCAGGTGCTTCTTCTTGGCCCAACCGGGCTGAGGGCCTCAGGTATTAAACTACAACAATAATGTTAAGGGATCTTTATTATTCAAAAAATAAATAACAAGATAATTACAAGTTCATTCTGGAAACAATAGAGACTGCAGGTAGATACAATAGACTTCCTTTAAATACAGTCATTTTTTGATGAGGAGTGGGCAAGCTTGGGCTGCCCCCCCTCCATTTGCAGTGGGACAAAGTGGAAAGAAAATAACTGGTTACAATGGCCTGACTCTGTGTGTGTGTGTGTGTATGAGAGAGAGAGAGAGAGCGAGAGAGACTGAAAAGGAGAGATTGGGAGAGTGAAATTGAGAGAGTGAGAGAGACTGAAAAAGAGAGATTGGGAGAGTGAAATTGAGAGAGAGAGAGAGAGACTGAAAAAGAGAGATTGGGAGAGTGAAATTGAGAGAGAGAGACTGAAAAAGAGAGATTGGGAGAGATAAATTGAGAAGAGCGAAATTGAGAGAGAGAGAGACTGAAAGAGAGATGAAGAGAGATTGAAAGAGAATGAATGACTGTCAGGGTGGGTGGCGGGGGCAGGGTTTTCAGTTCTCCACTGCACTACACGATCTAGAGCCTGGCCTCCTCCATCAGAGCCGCAGGAGCCCAGAGTCAACCCTAACTGAATGTGAGCTGGAGCCTGCCCATTTCCCTTCTGCATCCTCACTGATAAATCAAATGTATTGTCCCCTGAAAGACACCGCATGCAAAGAAACAAAACTGAACTTGGCTAATTATCTGCTGTTTACTCAGAATTCAGTTTGTGCATAGTGGCCTTGTGTTTTCATAGGACCCTCTGGATGTCTGTATCAGTGGGGTTGCTGCTTCAGAATATAAGCTCTTATGGAGCAGGGCCCGTTTGGGTTTCCCATGCCCTGTAATTCACTTATTACAGCCCTACATGCCCTGCGTGTATAATAAATAGTTCTCCACGAGGAGGATCCTAGGGTTATAAATAGGCAGTTCAGCAGGGGGTGGTGTTAACTGCTGCGCTGCAAGGTTATACTGTTCAGAGTTTGAGCAGGCCAAAGGATGTGAAGCCAGTCCCGTGGCTCACTTGGCTTGGATCAGTCACATTGACAAACACCGAAGCACCTGCTTGCAATTCAAACACTCCTCCCAAGTGGATGGATTGCTGCTCACAAGCTTTGGAGGAACTGTGGGTATTTGCCGCTCTGAGCAAGATTCTCTCAGATCCACCCGTGGACCTCAGGCAGAGGCTGGCTATAAATGGAGCTTGACTCGAAGCTTCCCGGTTAGAGCAGAAGGTGACTTGGGCATAGATATAATAGAGTCCTTGTCTTTTAACGGTGAGCTGTTTCCCATTTTCGAGAGTTACCAAGTTGTTGCTCATGGTGTAGTATCCTTTTTCAGCCCACTGTAGAACTGTTACAAAAGAGGAGAAAAATTCATGATGATATGAAACAGTGTGGCTCACATTCTAACAGAAAATGTAGCTTAATGTTAGATATGGCTTTGTATAGGAATGGATTCTCATGGTCCCTTCCAGCCCTCAGAGTCTATGCAGGAGTTTTGGCTAACAAATCAACATGGGCTTCAGAGTCACACAGAGCAGGTTCCAACCCAGGCTGTATCCAAGCTTGGGCAAGTCAATCTCCCTGAGCTCCAGTTCCTCATCTGCAACCTGGGGCTAATATTAGAGTGTATTTCAAAGACTTGTGAAGATTAAACAACGTAACACATCACAGTGAGTTTCCTTCTCTCTTTAGGGTTCTTAAAGCCAATTTGCCCTTGAACTTAATGATGCAAATGATTTCAAAATTCCATATGATCAATTATGCATACCAAATTATTCAGACAAAATCCCTGCTAATATTAACATGGATACCTTGCTTTCTTTAAATTTTACAAAGTCAAAGAGTTGTCACTCTACCTAGCTCAGCCTCAGCAAAGACCCCAGTTGTTCCTACCTAATCACGCTGTTGCAAACCCGACTGCCTCCCACAACAAGGACTAAAATTAGGCAAGGAAGTATGAAAATAAACTGTGTGTTCACTTCGCTGTGTGTTTTGATCTCCCATTGTAGTGGGCGCCACCAACTTGAAAGTACCTGTATTCTTGTGGCTAAGCAGAGTACCCACCAACAGTATGCCATTTTCTCGGCTGAGATGTTGAGTGGGTTCAAAGTAGTGTGTGCACCCAATTTCAAATCTCAGCTCCCACAGAGAGTTAGGCAGAGTAGTGGGGGGAAAGTGAAAGTACTGAGAAACTTTAAAAAAATAATTCCTATTTGGTGGTCTTAGGCCTACCAGGGCACAAGATCCCACCCGCTAAGACTCATCCTTTAGTAATAAGGAGGCATCCCAGAATGCCTGACATATCTGGGCCTTTTAAGCCATTCCAGAAATAATACTTCATTATATTTCCCTTTTGGACCATTTGAGGGAAAAAAAGGCAATTTATCTATCTTTTAATCCACTAAATTTACTTTGGTATTTCTTTGCCTAATTTTAGTCCTTGCTGTGGGATGTAAGGCAAGTTTGGAGCAGCACGGCCAAGTACAAATAAGACGTTTGGGACTGGGGTGCGGGAGGAATGTTACTGTCTTCCCACCTGGTCCCCTGCAGACCTACTGTAACACAGACTGTGAAGATATTGTAGGATCGATATCTGTCACCAGCCTTTTGGGAGGATGAAATATATTCCAGGGCAAGGACTTAGATATAGATGGACAAAGACCAGTGGGAAGCTATTCTTCTAAGAAGTTCCTCTATTGCTGTCATCCAATCCAAAAAAGAGAAGGTGTCATGTGGATGGCCACCCTGCACACTGCAATATAGTTGTGATGTTCTCCCATAAATATATTTTCTGAGACATAAGTACTTGGCAGAATTATTAAATATTGTGGAAATAATGTATATTAATGAAAGACTTTATATGTCTCTTTCTACATCTAAACCATAGTGCAGTAGACAAAGTAGTAGCATATTGCATTCGTATAGCACTTGATGGCATAACTTTCTGCCACATTAGCTGATTTGTTCCTCAAAGCCACCCTGTGGAGTAAGTGAGGTAGGAAACTGCTGTGTAGGTAAACGGGCTTGACCAAGGTCACCCAACAAGTAGTGGTCATGCTTCTTGAACCCCAGTGTCCCTATTCAGTGTTCTATTCCCATACTATGATCCATGATAACTGTGCATGTGTTGTACCCACTGAGAAGTCCAAGCCACCTTAGGGATAGGATAGGCGGTATCTATCCCTCTCTCTATCTCCCCCCCACACACTGTGCATGTGTGTTTGTGTGTGTGTAGTTCTAAACACACACACACACACACACACACACACACACACACACACACACACACAGTAGAACTCCATTCCAGAGCACTCTGCTGAATTTTTCAAAGACTGCTCTGATGCTCTTGCCTTCGTGTCGATGGGGAACTTTATGTTAGCGTGCATGTTTGCATCCATTTATCAGATGTGACACATTCTCCAGCACCAGCTATCACAAGGTACAGATTTAGGGGAAAAAATCTAAGGGCTAGAATGGTAACAGAATGGTAGCAGAACGTATATGGAAATAAAATTGTTCAAAGTTGAAAAGATCACAGTATGTTGTCTGTTGTTACTTCATTGGAAAATCTAACGTCTTGGCACCTATTGATCTTTACAGAATGATTTTACCTTTAATTTCCCTGAGGTTGGCCCCAGTGAGGCTGAGCTTAATCATACAGGGATTGACAGATGGCAGGAAGTACCCCTTGAGGCCCATTTCCACACAGCCATTCTCACAGTAAGGGTGAGGAGAAGGGATGCTCCCAGTCATGAGGTCACTACCTGCCATCTCTTCCATGTTGTCAGAATAATGGTTTCTCCACCCAGTAATTCATCATTTAAAATCAGCCATTGAGCAAGAACATAATGAGAACATCAGGATTGCATCCCACCTCCTTTTGTCCTTCTAAGTCCCATCTGTGCACTTGAGCTCACTTTGAACACAAAGGAGAGCATATGAGAGCTGTATGGCTAGGTTTGCAAATTGGGCCCCAGAGGAAGACAGGAGCCTAGTCATTAGGCTGCACTGTTTGGGCATCCCAGCCTTCCCCCTTGGGTGGCTAGCACTCAGATGCTATGGGACTTACCAGATGCTGTTTTGCCACTGGCCTCACTTATGACATGTGCTGCAATTTGAGGATTCTGATCACCTGAAATGAAACCAAAACCAAACTGTCATGCCAAAGTAATACAAAATTGCCCACAGAAGTGTTTAGTCAAGTTCTACAAGTGTGTGTACTAGAGTAGTTGCATGTACTAAAGTAGGTTACATGAAAGGAAGGATGAAATGGTCTGAAATCCCTCTCACTGAAGGAAAAGTTGGTTTCTAATATCTTAATAATTGAATTGGCCGTTTCCATTGATCTCATTCTCCAAGTAGTTGATCAATACTGAATTCCATTTTACATAGATTGGCACAGGCTGAATATACTAGTCTTCATTAAACATACCTTGAATTTTGCTTTTAATAACAGTTTCTATACATTGGGGTTTTAGTGGGCCCCAAGATTGTGTCTGCACACTTAGTAACATGCTTATGGTGTCTGATTTGGTGAAGCAACTGGCCAAACTATTGTATCTATCTCTAATTGTTTCTCATGTAAAAGGATTGCTTCTTAATAAATGCACAGACTGTGTGGTAGTTTCTTTTTTTCCAGTTATGAGCCTGGTGCTGGGTACTTTGTAGATGCCCTATAAATGTTAAGTCAAATTGCATGACCTAAACAACCAGTTTAGTTAAATTTATTATTTTCTCAAAGACTACTAGACAGCACCCACATGAACTATTTCCTCAAGTTTCACTTAATTAACAGGCAGCATGGTATCACTCAACATATCTTGCAGTCATTCTGAAGACAACATCTTCATGGAAGTCAGATGACTCTTTAGCTGTCAGACCAATAATTAAGGCAAGCTCTGAGTACTTTCTTTGTCTCAGAAAATAGTATCTATATCTCTGCAAGTATGCATTTCTTTTGTGTATTAGAATTGCACAAGTCATAGCATCAAGTTCACCAACTTCATAACATAATAGTCTCTCTAACAACATTCCCTCTTTCCCCTACCCATTATTGTGTTGGGTGAGGTGCCATACTCTAAAAGGAACAGGGAGACGTTAGTGTGTCTGGAAAAGGAGGTAACTGGGAGAGAAAAAGGCATAGAAAGGGTCATAGGAGGAACAGTGGAAGACATCAGTGATCTTTAGCCTAGAGAAGAGAAAGCTCAATCAAGGCTCAGGGGCCATAGTTGCTGTCTTCCATATCTGGACAGCTGCTGTGTATGAAAGGGATTATACTGTTTACTATGGCTCTGAAGAGCAGAACTGGGACTAGTGAGTGGCGATTACAGGAACAAATTCTGCTTCAAGAGGAGGAAAGACTTCTCTTGAGTAGTATAGTAATCTTACTATAATTGTTACAGCCATTCAAAGATGGACCAGGCTGCCTTATGAGGCAGAAGGTGCCTCATCCCTAGACATGTTCGATCAGAAGCCCGATAGCCAGTGCTATTGTGAAAGAGATTCATTCATGTTCTGGAGATGGTGTTCTTGATTTGAGAACCGTCAAGTTCCCTTCCAACCCTGAGATGTTCAAGATGCTTTAACGTCAAGAATAGGGCCAAGAGTAGAACACTGTTACACGGTCACTCCTCGATCCCAGAGGCTCCACCAGCCACTGTCCCTCATGAAAAACTGTTATCATTGAGTGATGAACACCACTGCTACCAAATGATGACTTTCCTGTCATCTCATCCTCCGTAGGTGGTAACAGGCTGTATGGTTGCTTGGATTAAGATATTGAACATAATGAGATTTCTTCAGGCTTGGTACTGTCAGCATGAAAGGAACATAGTCTCCCTCATAAATATGTACATACAAAGCCTTTCCAAACCATAGGGACCAGAGAAGGTGTCAATGTGACAATTGTGTCCCTGTTTTATTTCCAGGGCTAAAAGTTCCCTGATTCAACATTGGGTTTTTCAATATGGTCAGTCTTCAGACTTCCTTTTAGTTTTTAAGCATTCATAGAAATTGGTAAATAGCATCTCACCTTTTTGCATTTCATAGCTGTTTTCTTTCTTCTTCTCTTTGTTTAGAATTATTTCCTGAAAGAAGAATCATTACAAAAGGTCATTTTGACAGGGGCTCTGCTGTGGGGTTGTAAAGGTATCATTCATTTGGCATCTGTCATTACTCTGTTACCTATTTCTGGTGAGGATTATCATATTGACTCAGATCCTGTCATTAATCCCATCATACTGATTGGGAGCCCAGGGCTCTGACAGATGAACCAACAGCCCAGAACACCCAGGGGAGAATCTGGAAGCAAAATCCAGGCCTTATTATCTTCATTCCAGTGCTCTCTCCAGACCAGAGGCTGCGATACTGACCCATCCTATGACCCCGACCTCCCTGGCTTTGACAGGTATTGACAAATAATGTTGAATGGCATGATGATCCTTCCCTGGGAACTGGGATATTATTCAACATAAAGGGGATATTATTCAACATAGGGGATATTATTCAACATAAAGCATGGTGTGTATCTATTAGAATAAAATTGTTCTGAGGTCTCGTAGAAAAAGGTAATAGTACATTTGATCTTGGGAGAGAAAATACAGACTATGAAAAGACCCTCAGACATTTTAAATTTTGTTTCCCTTTCAATGGGTGGAAGAGATTCTCTTGTTGAAGGTTGCTTTGGATAGCCTGAATTTATTTAGAATAATCAGCATTTAGGAAACACATCTCCCAATGCTGCTGATGTTCAAAGGCAAATGTGACACTTCTTAAAAGATTTCTTTTCACTTATGAACGGAAGGAAGGCTAGAGGTACTTAAAGAAGCTAACAGCGATTTCCATCAACATATGTTGGAAGGTAATAAAAGCCATTGCTGCCATTTTAAAGAGACTGAACAAAAGACCTGGAGGGCTTAAGTGGACAGCATGAGGTCACCCAAAAAGGCTGAGGCTTAACCCAAGAGAAGCAACTGTGAGATCACATTCACAGGCTGGGCTCAGCTCATTCCATCTCTCTATCTCCAGAACACAAAAGAGTAAGATAGCAGCATTTCTACATCTTGTGATAATCAAAGCTCTGTGCTTCCTCTCACTCCCAAAATTGATTGTCTATAGGACCCTTCCTTTTCCTTCCTTCCCGCAAAGGATTTGTGCTGTCACTGTTGAGTGTCTTGCTGTAGGCTCAGCTCAGTCACCAGATATGAGGGTGTAGGTCACAGAGCCCCATGGGGAACCTGAGCCTCGGAACTCTCACATGGGCCTCAGAGCTACAACTTTCCATTTGAGCTAAGGTGCGGCACTATGAAGACGCGGCGACAGGAAAATGTTTGTGAGATCACAAGTAAACAAATGACTATTTAGTGTCTCTTCAAAAACTGGAGTATGATGATTGAGGTTGAGATACTATTAGGTTAGGTGGCTTCATTGGTGTCACAGCCTAGCCAAGATGAAAATGTGAAGTCAGCAAAGCGTGTTTTTTATGAGTCCAGCCTTGCCTTTCTGTGAACTTTCCCCCAACTACACTCCCCGGAGCCTTTTTTATTTTTCTTGCTTCACTCCCCATCTCAACTGAAATACTAAAATAAACTTTCAGAAAATCTGGGATTGATTATTTCTCTTTTAGTAGGAACTCTATGTGGCAGGTATGAACAGATTACACTTTATTTCCAAAAAGGAAATTTGTTGACCCTCTCAAAGGCACCTCAGGCATCCGTGGGCAGATAATCATGCAACTGATCATTCCAGCAGGAGGTAGAGTGGCTAGTTTTAAGTTTTAATGTGAAATTACACCATTCAAAATGATGCCTCCGTTGACTCTAACATGAGCCTGAATCCCCTCTTCCCCCCAAAGTGACAGCTTGGTGCTTCCTGCCTCAGAAGATAATGAGAGCCTTATCACTAGAGGTGTTCAAAGAGAGATTGGGTGTCCACTTGGTAGGGATGATGGAGAGAACGACTGTAGTTCTGGATTGAGAATTGCATCTGCTGACTTCTAAGACCCCATCAAGCCAGCCCTATGACTCAAAGGCTTCAAATGCAAACTTGAAGTTGCTCTGGACTAGCCAGCCTGTGGCCCAGAAAGAAAGCCTGATAACATTAGCTGAGAAAATACAAATCCAATCTGGGGCTTTCCAGTTATTGGCTTATTAGGTTAAAATAAAAAGTCTATAATATTGTTTTAGAGTGAGAAATTCTGGAGAATGGGTAGTAGAAAGGGGGTCAGTCATTGGAGGAGGATTGGGTAGCTAGAGGACTTTGTACCTAACCATCGTGCATATTCTAGGTACAGATGGCATTGAGTAGGGTTACACGTCTGCTACAGTAGAAGCAAGGGGTCTCCTTACTCATATGTAAGGAGGAGATCCCCAGGGCTCCAGTTGATGTGCCTGAGGAGGTCTACCCTTTTAGAACATGAAACTTTGGAGCAGTCACTTTTTTCATACAAGCATAAGCAAGGATGCCAAACTGACCGTTTTCCTTACTCCTACCCTGGGTAGCTGATTTTGGAGTCTGAAATAAAGACTCGAGAAATGGGCAATTTAACTGTAAAACTCTCAGTAAGAAAGAGAGGGAGGGAAAAAAAAACAACAAGCCACTCTCACTACTACTGGAGGACACTGAAGGCTGATCACATAATTACAGAATATCAGAGCTGCCCTTACAGATAATCTCAGTCCTCTCATGTCATAGATGAAAAAACTGAGGCCCAGAGAGATGAAGTCATTTGTTCAAGATCACACAGTCAAGCACATTCAATATGCTATTTGGATTATTAACTATTGATTTGAAAGTGCCTTTATTCACATGTAAATTTGTAACACCTTCCAATATCCTGTAACACTGGCCAGAATCCTTGAAGAACCTGAGAAACTCAAATCATTTCCTGATCTGGCCAATCTTGCAAATAAAGGGTTCGGAGTTTCACCTGAAACCTAGATTAGTGCAAAGAAGCTGAAAGCCAGCAGTGGATTTGAACTGCATTCTGATCCCCATAGGTGACTGAGGAATAAGCTGTTAGAGTCTTTACTATTGGATTAAATTACACATGAGTGACAGTACAGAATGACAGGAATAAGCTCCAAAATAAGCTCTTAAGTCCTTTAACGCCTGCATTAAATTACGCATCATCTACTTGTGAGAACTAATTCCTGTTGGTTTATCCAGATCCCCAACCACCTGGCACAGAGCTGACCTCAATGTGGAGTGCTGCCTCCTAGACACGACCTCCACGAGAGCTGAAAGCCAAGGGTATTTGGCTCAGTGTTCTGAGAGGGAAATGGGTAGAAAGAATTCTTGATGTTCTAAAAGAGCTGCTAGACCTCATGTCTGTGGTGACGGAATTAATGCAAAGGTTCTAAAAATTCCTGTTTTAGGTACCCATTATACCTGCAATGACTTCATGCTGGCTACCAGCCTGGTGGACTAGAAGGCTTCAAACCCTTCCTGCTTCTGGTCATGACTGGCCCTGGAGTGCACTGGCTTCATGAGCAAGTGATATTATACGGGGTCTGGTTTGAGCGGCGCTGAGAATGTTCGTTATCTATACCCTGCACCTCTCCCCACAGTAAAAGGGAAAGATCTCACTTTCAGGGCACCTGAAATTCCATTATCAGAGAAGCACAGGAGACTGTTATCAGTCTGCAGGAGACCCTTCGCTGTGGCCTGCCAGCACGGCAGCTGCCAATGCTACCCTGGGAAGTGGGGATCAGACCATGGATCTGCAGTGGGAAGGCAGCAAGGTTTGCATGGGGAAATACAGAAATGCAAAAAGCAAGCTGGGTATATTTCATAATTTTGCCCAGTGGTAGCTGCATATGTGAGCTCACAAGTGTGAATGTGCCCATGAGAGTGTGTTTTCCCCTAGGACCTTTTTTGTTCTTCTCAAGTGGGAGTGCACATATTTCCAACTTTCTTTTCCCTTCTAAACATAGGATTTGGCTTCGTTTTTGCTTTTTTTGATGCACACATTCATACACACTCTCCATACCCATGCATGTAAGTATGTTTGTATGCATGTATGTATGTATGTATGTGCATATGTGTATGCGTATAACTGATGTTTAAACTTTTACATTGTCAGGTCTCAGTTTCCCAACCTAGCCAATGCAGGAAAACATTTCAATGATAATTTTACCAACAACTAAGCTCCTTACCTTGACGAAACCTTCAAACTGGCTTCTAATCTCCTCACAGTTCAGCAAGGATAAGGGCCCTTCTCCTTTGTTGCATCTCTGTATTGTTTTCATGAATACAAAATCCTCATGAAGACTCCTTTCATCTTCTATCTATTTTGAAATAACAGGAATATGAGAAATGTCATTCTGAAGGAGAATGCAGCTAATGACATCTGCTTTCACATTCACTTCCACAGCGTCAACAACAAGAGGGCTTTGGGGCATAAATGGGGAATAATGAGTCGTTATATTGATGTGTTGCTATTTGGTATTTGCAGTTTAAAAAAATCTATAAAAGCTGGCAATTAAGATGTCATATGTGAAATTCTAGGTAGAAATCACAGCTATTCTAATAAGCTTTCATCACAAAATGTACATTTTCCAACATAATTGTTAGCAATATTCTATAATTGTCATATTTCCCATTGCTCCACTAATGATTGGTCATTATAAACATCAGCCTATAAAATGGTTTTCTGCTGAGCTAATTTGCCCACTTCATTATAGTGTTTGTGATGCAGTGCTTTTAAAAACAAAAGTTAATTTGCTATGTGTGTCAATTAACTTGAGTTCTAATTACATCTCTCTCCCTTTTTAACTTTAGTATTTGTAGAAAACATTTGCATTTTTAAAGACATCATCTTTCATCCCCAGAGTTAACAAGATATTTTATTTTCCCTTGTCTTAGAATAATTAAATGTATGCCTCACTCACATTATTAACTAATTCTGTACCATTTTCTTGTTTGAACAGTAGATTTTTTAGATTCAAAACAGGATCCAGTTAGCCGGCGGCTTTTGCTGTCATTAAGAGCACACCTAAACACAATGGTAAATTTGAGTCTACTTAGGTCACTATTTCCCCTTTAGAGGCTAGGCCTATGTCCAGGCATTGATTGACAGAGCATACCACGCTAAAAACAAACAAACAAACAAACAAACAAGCAACCTGAATAGAATCCCCCCTTTTTTCTCAGCAGTAAAACCTAAAATTTGGGTAACCCAGTGGACTGCTTCAGTCTTCACTGGCTCACCTTATCATCACAGAAAACAGACCTTAATTCTAGGTCTGCATCGCAAGAGAGGACACCCAAGCATCCCTGAGAAAATGCGACCATCCAGATGCTGTCCAGCCACAGTTCCCACATCCAGAATTTTAGGAACAGCCAGATAATTGATCAATTTTCTCCTTTACATCTAAGATTGATATTTTGTCAATACAGGCAATAATGCCCCTCAGTGGAAGTGTATAAAGACATGGAAACAAAATAAATCCTGATGGTTATTTTTTCCTAAGACTGCAAAACAACCTACTAAATTACTCTATTCTTTTGTTCCTGTAAGTCCAATCACTTAAGAATGTAAAACATCTCAGAGGGAAACTGAGCATCTTGCAACTGTAATCAGTGCTTGAAGAATTATATACTGAACGTCACTTGTCCTAAAAGACTGCAAAATCTGGGACTTATTCATGTGCATGCTAATCTGAAGCACTATGAAATTTCAGACCAAACTAATGCTCTCCTTCCCTAGTTGGAAATTTAAAAGAAAAAAGTTGTCTTCATCAGAAAAAGAAATAGTTTATTTTTTAAGCAAAACGTTAGCAAATAATGATAGCTAATGCTGATGTAGTGCTTACTATGTGCCGGGCACAGTTCTAAGCTCTTTACAAGGCTAAACTCACTTAATCTATGAGATGGGTACCATAACCATCCCCATTTCTCAAATGTGGAGACTGAGGCATAGAAATACAAAGTAACTTGCCCCAGAATTGCCCAGCTGGTAAGAACAGCGCTAAGATTTGAACTCAGGCAGTCGGACTCGAGATCCCAAGATCTTAACCAGAAACAAGAATATGAGACTTCACTGACTACACAGTGAACATTATTCCATAAGACCACTCATCTATTTGGGTTTCTGCCATCGTCCATCGTTTGGGTAGCACTAAAAAATAAACCAACTTACAAATCAATAAGAACCCCAAATTTAGTTAATAAAGGCTTGTGGTTCATCTTACCTTGTCCAACCTTCTATGAAGATACACAGCAAAAAATGCTGAGCCAATCATCTGGGTGATAAGAAAAATAGTAAGTAAATACATAAAAATTTTCATGCTGGCGGGCTGTCCAGTGGCCACAGATCGGGGAGAAGGTTGGCTGTATGTTTCGATCATGCTGTGTTGAAGTTGAAATGGTATCTTCTTGCTAAGAAGGTGGCAGAGGCAGCATGAGAAGACTGTCAAAGTGGCCGCCTTGCTCAGGATTAGTTAAGAGCACACAATCGTCGCAGCCCACACTTCCTGGAAAATGTGCTTCGTAGTCTTCTCTCCCAGCAAAAATGTTACGTAAAGGTTTTTTTTTTTTTTTTAAGTTATACTCATATCATTCACTTCCAGGCTTTCCTTTTTGTTAGTAAAGAAGAAACAAGTTTCTTCTTCCATACATTCATTCTTGCCTTGAAATGTCATAGACTTTTTAACAGACAATGGTAGCATTTTCCTATCGCTGTCTAACTTTTCGGGTTCACCAGTTTCAAGGAAAGTGACAAATTCATCCACCAGCAACACTCATTTCAATTTCAATCTTACTAATATAAAGCGGGAATCTGGTATATGAGGAAAGAAACATATGTCAACAAAAGTTTGGATTGATTTTATGATCGGTGTGGCACTAGCTAATTGCTTCTCAAGACCTGACTTCTTTACTTTTTTAAACTCAACGAAATCCTAGCAGCTTTTCAGGTCAAGTCTACATGGCATAAAGCAAAAAAGAGTACTGACAGTTATTAAATAAAATTTAGCTGGATAGATAGTGTAAGAAAAATAAATTTCTCAAAGGCAAAGATCTTGTGGGAAATCAGGCCAAGAGTCTGGGATTGAAGTTAAAGTAGGAACATTGGCTTGGCTTAGCCAAAGTGTCTGTCTACACTGTTCTAATCCATCAGATAATTGCTGATGTTGATGTAATGGTTCAGAATAGGGAAACGAGGCTGCAGTTCAGAGATCTGGATTCTAGTCTTCACTCTACCAAGAAATTGCTATGGACCTTGGGCAAATCACTTCACCTCTTTAGTCCTGTTTTCTCACACCTGAAGGGGACAGTTGCACCTGTCTTGCTTATGCCTATTCTGTAGGTTGTTGTGAGGATTGAATAAAGACGTGCACAAAAGAGATTTGAAATGTGTTAAGCAATACACAACTCCCATTCCCAATTTTAGGAACTTGTTTAGCTCAAGCAGTGAATTTTCCAAATAATTGCCAACTCCTTACTAGTAAAAAACAAACAAACAATAACAACAACAAAAATACCTAAAGTTTTGACAATTAATTGAATCACTGAGGTGTGTAGGAGTATACATATCTGAATGGCCTTTGAATCATCTTATCAGATTGTCTTCAGACTAAAAGAAGCTGTGGAAATCCCTACCCCACATCCCAACCTGGTCTGAAAACCATGATAAAACTGCTTTGGTTATTCCTATAAAATTGTTTTGAGAGACAAATAGGAAATGTAAAAACTGCTCTGACAGGCATGCTGTCTGTATTGCTAGCACCTGCTTTCTTCCCCTCCCACGCCCCAGCATCCTGTCCTGGGCCCAGATCTGCGTAGCTTTTCACTACATCTGCCAAGTAGGTGGCTTTAGTGCACGTGATGAGGCCTCAGTCAAGTCAGAGGCTTTGGTTCTTAGACAAGTAACCTTAGTTCCACTGAAGGAAAATTAGCACGAGGGCCAAAATGGGCTCAAGGACTTCTCCAAGGCCAGTTTCATACAATTACAGAATGTCAGAGCCGCAAAGGCCCTGCGATCAGCTGAGCCAATCCTGGAGGGAGAGGGTGCTTAAGGAAACATGGAGATGCAGACAATGGCAGGATTTGGTCATGTGACTGACTTCAAGAAAGAGTCGTCGTCCAACCTCCCTGCTGCTACTTCTTCATCTCCAGCCTTCTGCAGTCTGGCTTCTGCCCACAGTATTCCCCTGACCTTGCCCCACACCATTATTAGCTCAATAATAGTTGTGGCTGAATACTTTTTAGAGTTTATTTTTAGTGACCTCTTTATTATTCTGTTGTCATCTTTCTGAATACTCTTCTCCCTTGAGTTGTATACCACCATTCTCTTACAGGCTTCCACCTCTCACAATCCTTCATGTGATCCTCTTTTCTTTCTGTACCCCATAAAACTTTGCTATTCCCTCTTCTCACTCTTTCCTCGCTCTTCTCGTTCTTCATGTTTTCCTCAGGTGATTCCCATCCACTTTTATGGTTTTCACTATCACCTTCATGGTTATAAATTTCAAATCTATCATATAACTGCAGCCCTGAACTTCAGACTTGTAAGTATAGCTACCGCTGAATATCTCTGCATGAATATTCCAAAGCTGCCTTATACTTGGCACGCCCCAAACTTAAGTCATCACCCCACTCTACTTCCATCCCAGGCCTGTTCTCCCTTAAGGGTCTCCCTATCTCAGGGAAAGGTCCCACCACCCACCTAATTGCCCAAGTCAGAGACATGGTAGTCATCTATGATTCCTCCCTCTCTCTTGCCCCAGATTTCTCCCCAATCCCAATGGCTTCTTCTTCCCGAAAGCTTCTTGGTTGCCATTCCCCCTGCCAACATCTTAGTCCAGGCCCACATGTCCTCTTTTTTGTAGACTACTGAATTCTTCTATCCTAATTTGTCTCCTTTCTTCCCCTCCTGCCACATTCCATCCATCTTCCATACTGCCAGCAGAATGCTCATTCTAAATCTTATAAATTACCATATTATCTAATCTGATTTGACCCCCTAAGACTCTATCCCAGACTTAAGGAAGTATATTGTTGTAGTGCTCCGATATGATCAACATGAATAGGATTGGCTCCAGAACACATTGCTTGCATCTCAATTCTTGAAACCTCATCTTTCTCCCATCCTTCTGCCTGGTACTCTAGCTTGATGCTACAATTGGCTACTTTTCCAACTTCCAAATTTAAGCTCTATTTACTGATTTTTGATTCTGTATCAGAAGTTCTTTGTATCAGGACATCCCATACCTGTTGATATGGTTTGGATGTTTGGTCTCTCCAAGTCTCATGTTGAAATTTGATCCCCAGTATTGGAGGTGGGGCCTAGTGGGAGGTGTTTGGGTCATGGAAGTGGATATGTCATGAATGGCTTGGTGCCCCCCCCCCATAATGAGTGAATTCTTGCTTTATTAGTTATGCAAGAGCTGGTTGTTTAAAGAAGACTGGCACCATCTCCTCTCTCTCTTGCTCCCTCGCTTGCCATGTGACACACCTGTTCCACCTTCACCTTCCACCTTGATTGGAAGCTCTCTGAAGCCCTCACCAGAAGCAGATGCTGTCACCATGCTTCTTGTACAGCCTGTAAAACTGTGAGCCAGATAAACCTCTTTTCTTTATAAATTACTCAGCCTCCAGTATTTCCTTTATAGTGATGCAAAATGGACTAACATACTTGTCTTTCCCCAACAAGGAGTGGGTATCTGTGGTGTTGGGTCCTCTTTTAAAATCTTCTAATTGATCACAACCAGTTACAGATTTCTTTGTTCCTTTTCCACTCACACTGCTTCACTTGACCAGCCTTTTAAAAACTTTAAAAAACAAATAAAAATAAAAGGAAAAAAAAGAAAAAAAGAAAAAAAATTTTCAGCTTCCTAACATACCCAGAAATGATGATCTACCTTAGTTTCCAAGAAATATATAGCTCCATGGAGTGCATGAAAATGCCTGTAGCCAAAATGAAATTTTGGCCATCATTTTCTTAGGTTACAGAAAGAATTAAATTAATGGATTGAATTGTCTCATTTTTCAGTTATTCTTACACAGAATTTTCTTAAATCTCTGTCACCCTTTTCTACTACTGCTTTTCTGCTACCTAGTGATTGACCTGTAGCAAATAAGTATCAAGGGAAAAAATTAAAAAAAACAATGGATCATACTCAACAGCTTGTTTTTGATGTAAATGTGCTTGTGGTTGTGATTTTATATTGATAACCTAGAACACAGTCATAGTTTCTGCTAGGAAAATTCTTTTCAGTACATTTGAAAGAGTTAAATACATCAGTGTTTTGTTTGTTCTATGAAGGGCTTCACAAAGACTCTTTTCCCCTGAATATATGTCTGGAAAACTCTAGTCTAGAGGAAAGGGTCTCGGTTCTTAGCATGGCACATGAGCTGACCCCTGCCCACATTTCTCTCTTTGTCTTCCATAATTCACTCAGGCTCCACTCTGAGCATCAAGCATATTAAGCTGGTTTTATTTCCTTAAATGTGCTACCTTGTTCATGCTGTGCTCTATGCACAGGCTGATTTGCTCCTCTGTTATCCACTAATGTGGAAGTGAAATATCCTATCCCAGCTGCAAGGTGCCCTTTTCTGTGCTTAATCTATCACAGCATTTGCCAGACCACATCATAATGGACTTGTCTGATTTTTCTACCATTAGCTCTTAAAGGAAAGAGACAATTTTTTTTTAAATTCTCAGAATCCTTGGTTTCTGACACATTGTAAGGAAATAGCAAATACTTGCCAAATTACTAAGTCTTCTTTTAAAGAAATAGAAGGGGAAGTTGTAAAATATTCAAACCTGGAAGAACAGCACTGGCCAGCCTCTCTGGTGATACAAATCAGAATATATTTAAGTTTTCTTGTATTCCTTTAGTTATCTCTCTTTCCTCTGGAGTCAGTTCTATTGGTTTATTTTAGTCCTTTTCTTTCATGTTGACAGTTTCCCTCAAATGTCTGGTGATCCTTAGTTGAGTGGTCATATTTATGAATAAAAAACTGGGTTGGTTATTATGGGCAGATAGCATGAGTTTCCTCTGCCATGTGTTGGTCTGTTTCCCCTGCAAACCTCTGTCCAGAATGAAAGCGCTGACTGTGGGTTCTGTTAAAGTAGGCAGGACCTGTCAACAGTCAGGCTTCCTTTTGGGTTTTGTGGGTAGAGAGGCAGGAAGACCAAGGACCCCATAACAGATGAAGTAAGGAGGGCTTTTCTCCAGGGGTGGAGCCCTTCAGAAGGTTTCACTCTTGACTGATATTGGTTTTCCTTTTGTTTTCATCCTCCTATCTGTTGTGGAGGTCTCATCACCCTCCAGAGAGCACTAGCACGCCTCAGGCAACTTTAGCCTGAGGGCAAAGGCCAAATGCTATTGCTAACAAATGGTCCACTGGGGGAGAGAGAGAGAAGGGAAAAGGTCCCACCTGTCCCAGCTGTTTCTAGGGCAGCTCTTCAATGTATTACCATAATGATT